GCCAAATGGGGGAAAGAGAGGAAAGAAACCAGGCTTGCTGTTTGACCCACTCCCTGTAGTTGAGTGCTAGGGGTCACGTACATTCTCTCAATATTCATCTTCTAATTTGTGTGCTAAAGGTTGTCTCCAGTTTTTGGAGACAAGGAGAAGTTAAATCATTGGCTCAATGTCACACCAGGGTTTTTTGAATGCCATGTCTGCCATGCAGCAATGCCTCTGCTCCCAGTCCACCTCCTACCTCCCCCACCTGCCCCTCATGGACTTTTTGGCCTGTCTCCACATTCACAGTAAAAAGAACCCCTCCCCCCAATCTCTTAGAGCAGTGATGCTGGTCCTTTTTTGGTAAAAGGACAAATTAAGGAAAAATAAGCATGTTTATGGGCTGCATTTTTTTTTTCCATTTAAAATTAGAATAACTTTACTGAGGCTCCTGGGAAAAGTGTATGTTCTTGCAACTTAAATGGTCTACTGTTTTGGTCAGAGGGCTGTGCAGTAGCTAAAGAGAGACAGAGAGAGGATGAAAAAGCATCCTCCAACAGGGATAGCCACACCACAATCACTTCTCCAGTCTCCTCGAGGAGTTTGGGCATACACACACACATGCTTGGTGTGGTTCTCAAGCACCAAGTTTGAGACTTGAACTGTACAATTGGCCATGTGGGATTCAGCATCTAACCTCCATGAGCCTGACTGGCCCTGATTTATTGGGGTGTTGGAAAAATCATGATGCAGTTTTGCTTACAAAAAATACATCATGGCCAATGAGGAGACAAGGGCAGTGTGATGGGCAGCCATGCCTTTCCTTGATGAGCAGAACAGGCTAGGCTTTAACGTAGATTGCTGGATGACAATCCAAAGTGGTGAATAGCCCCATAAGCTCCTATCTCAGTGCCACGCTTTTGAAAAGGATGGAGAGAATGTGCACGTGCAATCATAGTATCTGGGCAGAGAAAGAGTGCAAGCTAGAATTCGATGATTTCATAGAGTGTATGGTTCGGCAGAAAACGATAAAACACATGCGTGCCATCAGAATGCAGTGGGAAAAGCTGATGAAGGAAAGTACACCCCTCCACCTCACCACTCGGGCATTGGGAGCCTAGGCCCTGAGCAGAGCATCTGTTGATGACTGGAGGTGATTTTTCCTGTTCGCTAATGTGCACTGAAACGATTGTTTCCTGAAAACCTCTTTGCTGAAGTGTGAAAATAAAGGACTACTTCATCCTAAAAAAAAAAAAAGGATCATGATTTTTCCAAGAACCCAATTCTTTATTAAATAAAGATGGTTACCGAGGAAATAGTTTTGTTTTGGCATTAAAACAAGTGGCATGGCAATTAAGGCACTGGACTCCCACATGGCTGACTGCGGTTTGAGTCCCAGACTTGGCAGTTTTCTTTCTTACTTTTTCTCTCTCTCTGCCTCTCTCTCTGGTGAGCACATGTGCCCTCTAGCAAATTTTTAAAAAAATGATAAATTAAATAATTCTTTAAAAAATATTAGTACTAAGCATGTTGGAGAAGCAGCAGCATGGATGGATGCAGCTTTTTAAAAAAGAATTATTTTATTTATAATAATAATAATTATTATTATTTTAAATTTGACCAGAGACAGAAAGGGAAAGTGAGAAAGCAAGCTGCTAGGTCTGGGACTCGAACCACAGGTGCCCATGTGGGAGTCCAGCACCCAACCACCATGCCACCTGCCAGCCCCTAGATGTAGCTTATTAATCTTTACCTCTCTATTAACTTGTATAGCACTCTGCTGTTGGTATCACTGTCATCCACTCCTTATAAATTGAAAATTATGGACAGAGAAACAAAATGATTTGCCCAAAATTGCCCAACAGCTTGACAGCAAAATCGGAACTCAAATGAGTTTCTGTTTGGGGCAGTATTTTCCAAACTGACCCTGCACCAGCCACAGAGGAGGCTCTGGGAATGCAAGGATGAGGGTGCCTTTGGGCTTTCTCCCTTTGTTAGGTCTACTTTGTAATATGCTACGTTTTGTATAATTTGATCTAACTTGGGCTGTTCTGATCTTCTGCTTTACCTTTCAGTCATTTACTACATGCTGTCAATTTATAAAATGCTTTAATATCTAATAGAATTAATCATTCTTTTCTTTTTAACTACTTTAATTAAGGATTGAAGGCAGTGTTTTCTGTAAAGACTGAGAGTTATAAAGAAATGTCTTTGAATGGAGTGTGAGTGGGCATAGATAATGGCTTGGTTTGGGCAGGGAAGAGAAAGCTGTTCCCTGAGAGGTGTCCAGGGCATTGGTTGTTCCTCCCATAATATGCTTTGTCCCTCAGGTGGAGGTTTGGTGCTACTTCCCTTATAGGGCAGACTTACGACCCGTTAGAGGTAAGTTTGGGTACCTATTCTTCCTTCCACTTAGCTTTAATTTCCACAAATCAGAAGACTTAATTTGAAATATTTTCACTTTGATAGAAGATCGGGCTGGGGTTATGACTGTCAGGCAATCAGTTTTTGCTCAGCACTACCTTCAGCATTATGAAATGGGTTCCTGCTGCTTTCCTGGGAGGACTTCTGAGAGGCAGCCCTGAGGTCTGGAACCAGACTCCTTGGT